TTCCCGGTGAAGACGCTATTCCCTGTGAAGACGCTATTCCCTGTGAAGACGCATTCTGCGGACACAGACAGCACTCCCCCTTATGAAGACGTTATTCCTTGTGAAGACGCTATATCTGTGAAGACGCTATTCCCTGTGAAGACGCTGTTCTGGGTGAAGGCGCTATTTTCCTTGTGAAGTCGCTATTCCGGGTGAGCACGCTATTCCGGGTGAAGACGCTATTCCGGGTGACGACGCTATTCCGGGTGAGCGTCGCCGTCGTCATCGTCGTCATCGTCGTCGTCGTCGTCACCGCCGCCGCCGCTGGCGTCGTCGCCGCCGCAGCCGTCGTCGTCGTCGTGGTCGTCGTCGTCGTCGTCGTCGTCGCCGTCGTCGTAGTCGTCGCCGTCGCCGTCGTCGTCGTCGTCGTCGTCGTCGTCGTCGTCGTCGTCGTCGTCGTCGTCGTCGTCGTCTCTGGGACCATACCATCTGGGGGGGGGGCCCGAGGAATCCTGGGACCATACCATCTGGGGGGGGAAGGGGGGGGGGGGCCGTGGGCCTGGAGCCCGGGATCATACATATGTCGGCGTATGTTTGCCAATTGCGGCGTTTTTCCTGTCGATTTCGGCGTTCAGGGCCCGTTACCAGGTCCTGGGACAACCAAACATGGATCCTGGACGACAAACTCTTCCCGGTGACGTGGTTGGGGCCTCTGGGGCTGGGGATTCAAACATCAGATCGGCGGATGTCAGGGGACGTCGGTCTCTGGCCTTGTTTGGGGGGGAACCGAAGGTTCGAGGATCGAGGATCGATCCTAAGCGCTTGAGGTGTTGGGGCGTTTTTTGCTGTAGATTCCTTGGGTTTTTGTGATTGATCCTCTTCGCATGGTCGAGAAAAGTGAGAAAGGTTCGAAGTTTGAACTTTTTGGCGAGTTTCGGTAAATTCCCGGACGTTTCCAGGCTCGGAGTTCTTTCCAGCAGCTGCGCCGTGCCGAGGGCGTTCCAGGGGTGCTCGAATCGTTTCAAACGGCCGCCGGGAACCTTAGTTATGACCCGAAAACCAGACGTCCCCGCGTCGTGACAGAAAATCTCGACTGAGGCTCTTTCGGTTTTTTTTTGCCTCCAGGGGCTCTTGCAGGGCCCCAGGACCGCAAAAGACCTGCTCAGGATGAAAAGGCCGCTCTCCAGAAAGGGGTCAGGGCCGTTCACGCTGCGGACAACAATCACGACGTTAGAAGTCTGGGTCGGTTTCTCGGCGGCTCTAGACATTCTCGTCATCGCGGCTGGACGTCCGCAGAGGGCACTTGTGCACCATCACCCTGTGATGCACGGGCCATCCTGGGCCCCATAATGGTGTATGTACCCTGACATGGCGCACCAGGCATGGTGCTGGTGCGCAAATTCAGGTGCCTTCTGCGTGCAGTACTTGGCTCGCAAAGATGATCAGGATGGACCTGGAGGGACTGGGAGGAGAAGAGGATCGCCCATTTTGGCTACACGTAAGAGTGATCCCTCGCTGGAGTAATCTTTGGTGTGCGGCCTTTGGCTTGAGCGGGGGGGGACAAACCAAAGCATGCAGGCCGCTACCGTCGCATCGCATGCAGCGATCGGGAAGCCCTGCATCAAAGGTGAGACTTTTGCCTATAGTCACTGTTGCGTGTAGCTGGCCACGCACTGAAGCCCGGGGCGCGCTCCGCTAGACTAGGAGGCCATCGACGCACAGGCCCTCGGTGTGCAGGTTGACGGATCGAGGAGTCGGGTCTTGAGGGACTAATGAGGAGACGTGTGCAAGTAGTTCTCGGGTTGCTTGGACGCACGTGCGGATTGCCTGGCGTAAAATGATCGCTTGTCAAACTCAATTGATCAGTGCTCATGGGGTGTCTTGGGGGCGGGACCGGGGGTAGGTATGATACCTCCGCTCTTCCTCGACGGGACGCTCAAGCAATTTGTGTTCAGGCCGCGCGCGGGGGTGCTGCAGCCAACCCACAGTGTGAGGGCTGCTACCCCGGGAGCGGCTGCTCGCGCAGGGCTCTCACACCACGTGGCGCCGGGCCCTCGCCATAGGGCTCGCCTTTTCCTTCCTGGGCGACACTGACCTTCTGGAGTGGGCCCTCGAGTCGCCGATCGTGACCGTCAACGAAAGCGACCCGCTCTCACGATACGAGCGCATCTCTCCGCGTCTCAGTTTCTCGGAGTACGTTGGCCTGATTATGAACTCGGTGCACAGATGGAGTCGGATGTACCGTAATGTGGGTGGACGCCAAAGCGAACTCGTCCTGATGCTGGTGAGGCTCGACCCGAAGAAGAAAGGCGACACGAGGTGGATCTTTGTTCGGCCAGACAGAAGTTTGGGCTCCGTCGACATCAAGGACCGCTCGAGGACCACAGCGAAACGCCAACCGAACACCACTTACGCCCACTTCCCCGCCCTGTCCACCGAGGAAAAGACGGCGGCGCTCGAGGCGGGCACCGAGAAGCAGCTAAGCATGGAGTTTGGCGCTGCACGCTGGCGCTCGTGGGGTTCTATGCTGGGATGGGCCCGCAGTGCGGCGGTCGCTGTGTGGGCGACGTCGTCGTGGGTCACCAGTGGAGGCCTTGACCTTCTTCGCCTGGAGGGCTGCGCTGTACTTCAGGGCCTGGGACTGGGCCCTGTGGGCGGTGGAGAAGCTGGACGACACGCGCACGTTCTTGATGGAACTGGACGACTTCAGGGCCTACCCCTACGACCTATACTAGGACGGGCGCCTGGAGCTGCCGATGTTGTTCCTCTCCTTCGTGCTGGCCTTTACCCCCGTGTGCTTGTGATGGTGCTGCCGTCGGGGCCTGCCGCGATTTGGCACCACCAGCCCTCCAGGGAACGATGTGGACAGCGACGGGTAGGCCGGGCATTCGGTGCACGAATCGGACTCGGAGTCGGAGGCAAGCAAAGCGGTTTCGGAGATGAGGAAGATGATGCAGGACTTGATGGAGGAGATGCATCGGGATCTCGCGCGGAGGCGGAGGCCGAGGGGAGCTCAGGTCGTGGTTTTGGGGACAGCCCGCGCCGCTCGGATGGGTCGTCAGCTTGGAGTCCAGGTCCGAGCGCAGGCAGCTGGAAACGCGCCCCCACCCCCGCCGACATGGGCTTGCACGTCGGCCGCATGATGGATCGGCTGAACCAGTTCGAGAAGACCATCCAAGCGGGCCGGGCGTCAGGAGCCCGCCGTGCAATGGCGGACCAGGCGTCGACGGCAGCGACGGCGGGTTCCATCGCCCTGGACGAGGGTTCGATGGAGGAGGTCGGGGTGAACATCGGGCCGTTGCGCGAGTCTTTGAAGGGCCCGCGTGTTCGCCTGATGGAGAACCTTGCGAAGCTGAAGTCGGCCCCAACGTTCGAGCTGCCCCCGGGGCTGACGGCCCGCGTCGCTCCCGACCTCCTCGTGCAGACCTACGGCAAGTACGGCGGCGTGGGCAAGTTCGCGACGGACTGGGTCAAGCAGAAGGATCTCTACAATAATCACATTGGCCACGAGATGCTCCTGCATTGCATGACGCTGGGTCGCATACTGGAGGCTTCTCCCGATTTCATCGCGACCGCTGGCTGCGGGATCCTGTGTTCGAGGGTCCGCGCGCTGAAGCGGGCTTCCAAGGTGCGCGCGATGTCAGACTGGAAGCAGCCCCGCGGAGCGCCGGCCAACAGGTGGAAGTCGAAGGTGCGCTGGGATTTGGCGAACGAGCTGGACTGGCGCACTGTGGTGGGCGGGGGGGAGTCTTCGCCGAGCGTCGAGAAGGACCTCGCCGCGCGGCTGCAGCAGAGGGCGCCGTGCCAAAAGTACTTGCGCAAGGCGGGCTCCGAGGGCGCCAGGGAGGAGGAGGAGGGGGACTAACGGCTTCCTGCGTGGACATTCTCGCCGAGGCGGGGCTCCCTTGGCGCTGGGCGTGTGTGCTGGCGCTTCGGCGCTCCGTCTGCCTCGACAGCGGCTGCGTGCGCGGGCAAAACCCACGCTCTGCGATCTGGGCGGAGTGGCTCGGTAGCTTGGCCTCTTCGAGCTGCTTGCGCCTCGCCGACCTGGTGGCGTCTGGTGGCTCACGTCTTTCTCTTCAGCTACACTGCCCTGGCCATGACCACGTCTGGCGCAGTTCCGCCACCGGGGGCTCGACCTCGCGACCGCGATCTTCTGCTGGATAGGCCGCTGCCCCCCTGGGGGGCGGTGGCCAGCTGCATGGGGTCCGCCCCCCATGGCGCCGTCGAGAAGGTGAGGTCCCTGACCAGCGGGCCCATTCGCGTCCTGCACCCCCTCTCGCGGGGGGCGGTGGGATCGGTGGCTGGGTCGGGGCCTGCGGGCGGGAGCGGTCGACCTCGCTCCGCAAGAGGACGGCCTTGGAGCTTCTGGTCTCGTGGGCCTCTTGGCAGGGCCACATCTACGGCGCCGACGTGGACCTGGGCGCAGCCGTCGAGCGCGTCCTCGCTGGCCGGGCCTCGCCGTGCGAGGACGAGGGGGTCGCCGAGTCCCTGGGCGTGGATTCGAAGGGTCGCCGCGCGCTGCCAAAGGGTGCGATGTGCTCGGTCGACGTGGACGAGCTGGCGCTGCCTGCGCCTGGGGCCAGTCAAGCATGTCGATATCTGTCCCTTCGCTGTCGAGCACTGCTCGGACGTGGAGGGCCGCGTGCTGAGGCGACCAGATTCTGTTATGATGCGGGGGTCGGAGAGCCAGGTGGTCCACCGGGACCCCGCGATGAAGCCTCGTGGGGCTCGCTGGCGCTTGGCGGAGCGACTCTGGAGAGGCGGCGTGCTGACTTTCGCCGCGGAGAAAAAGGAGTCGGCGTCGCTGTTCGGCGTCATCGAGAAGTGCGTGGGGTCGGAGGTGGACGGCGACCCGGTCCTACAGCGGCATGTGCGCGGGATCTGGGGCGAACGGCGGGCCGACCTACGCTGGGCCGCCCTGCGTGCCGCTCGGCAGCCCCGCCTCATTCGCGAACCTGGACCTCTCCAACATCGAGGCGGAGTGGCGCGTCTAATCTGCGGTCGGCGACGTACCCGACATGTTCTACGGGCTGGAGACGCCATCGCAGCGTTGGCCCTACATCTGCTTGGACGAGGTTGGCGTGGACGAGTTCGTGCAGTGCATGGCCGAGCGAGCGGTCGACGTCGAGGCGCCCGCCGACTCGTGCTACTTGGCACTGAAGGTGCTCGTCATGAGGTGGTCATGGGCGCCGTTCCTGGCGCGCTCCGCCCTGCAGGCGTGCATGGGGACGGCCCTCGGCGTGGGCTCGGTGCGCGCTCGTCTGGCGCGCGGGCCCCCGACGTCTCAGCTCCGCGGCCGTGCTGGGGGCTGCGAGGCGCTCGACTGGGCTCGCACGGGCGACTGCGGTGTGATGGCGAGCAGCGCGAGCGCGAAGGGCGGCGAGAAGGAGCTGCCCTCGAGCATGGCGGCGAAGGTCAAGTCGCACGTGGAGTCCGCGGGCCTCGCGGTCCACGGGGAGGAGGGGGCGATGGGGCTCGAGTCTCTGGGAGCTGTCCTGAGGGGCCGCCCCTGTGTGATTGGCCTGTGCCCGTTGAAGACGTGTCGTCTTGCCCTCGTGGCCTTAGCCTTGGTGGGGGGACCCTGCTGGACAGCGACCATGTTGGAGCGCCTCGTGGGATTTTGGGCTTGGGCGGCGGTGTTCCAGCGAACGAGCCTCGCCATCCTCGACCAGGTCTGCCACGAGATGCGGCGCCCCTCGAGCTCAGCGGCTGCATTCCGCCTGTCCGCGGTGGCGCGGGCCGAGCTCGCCGCCGCTGCCTACTGCGCCCCGCTCATGGTCACCTGCCCAGAGTCGCCGTGGGCCCGCCGGGCCTTCGTGACCGACTCCAGCGACGTGGGCTACGGAGTTGCCGTCGCCCAGGCTACGGTGGAGGAGATTCGCGCGGAGTCCAGATACTGCGAGCTGCGAGGCTGGACCATCGCCGCCGAGGACTTCTACACCAGCGCCGAGGAGGACGCATAGCAGGATGGCTGCGGCGGCTACGCTCACGACGCCGACGAGCTGGCGCAGGCCGCGGCCCCAGTCGTGGGTGGCCCGAGCGTGCGCGTGTTCGGCTTCCTCTACCTCTTCGCGGGAGTTCGGCGGTCAGGAGATCTCGAGGAGTACTTGCGGCGGCGCGCGGGGAGCGCTGGCGTTCTCATCGAGGTCTGGTCCCTGGATGCAGTCATCGACCCGAAGCGCGACCTCGCCGACCCCGACTTTCTGAACGTCATCGTGGGGCTCGTCGACAAGGGCTACTTCCGCGGGGTGCTGGCGTCATTTCCGTGCTCGACCTGGAGCCGCGCCCGCTCTCAAGGTCACGGGCCCCGCCCCCTGCGCGCCCGTGCAGAGCCGTGGGGGCGCGCCGACATCAGGCTGACCTCGCTGGAGCGGCGGCGGCTCGAGCTGGGCGCGAAGTCGCCCATGGCGGTGCTGGCGGTGATCCGCGCGGTCTGCATGGGGGGTGGCCTGTCGGAGCACCCGCCCGACCCAGGGGGGCCGCCTTGTCCGTCGATCTGGGACCTCGCGGAGCTGAAGGACCTCGTCGAGGACTTTGGAGGGTGGGTGGACTTCCTGGACCAGTGCCGCTACGGCGCCCCCTCCATGAAGCCGGCCATGGTCGGCATCTTCGGCGCGTTCGACAGGAGCGACGGGGGCGCCGCCGCTCGGCTCTGCCTCGCCTGCAACCACCAGGGACGCCACCGGGTTACGCTCGAGGGCCGAGCGTGGCCAGGAGGTCCGACCATTCGCACCGCTGCCGCGCAGACCTACCAGCCCGAGCTCTGCGATGCCCTCAGCGAGGTCATCATCGAGGCGTTCGTGCACATGAGGGCGTGGAGGCTCGGGCTCGATGTCGACGGTTCGCTGCGGTCGCCTGCGTCGGTGACGTTGGGGCCACCGCGGCCTGGGAGATCGAGGAAGGAGGTGCGACGAGGGGATCGGGTTCGAGCACCCCCGCTGTCTCGCACTTGGCTTCCGCCGACGAGGTGGAGGCCCCTCTACTTCGGCGAGTGGCACGAGACCGAGCATGCCAATATCAACGAGACGTGCGCCATCGTGGGCCTCCTGAGACACCTGGCCAGGTCCTCGAGGTCGCGGGGGCTCCGCGTCCTCATCTTGACCGACAGCATGGTGGCTCTGGGCGCGCTGGGGAAAGGGCCGATCGAGCGCCCCAGCGCTACGTCGCCTCTGCCGCTAGGCGGCAGCCATCACCCTGGCGTTCCGCATCTATGGCTCCTGCCGCTACGTGCCGTCCGAGGTGAACGTGGCGGATGGCTTGTCCCAGGGAGGCTTTCTAGGGGCGGCGCCCGAGACCGTGCGGGCGCGTTGCGACCGCGCGACACTAGCTGCTTTTCCCGCGTCAGGAGAGGTGCCGCTGGGCCACGAGCTGCGCGCCCTCGGTCAGGCGTGCGCGGGATATGCTGGTGGCTGACGCTGACCATCTTCGACCTGGTTGGGCGGGCATCGGCTGGCCGCGAGCCCCTGCAGCCCATGGGCGCGACCCCGATGACCAAGAGGGGCCACTTGGCGTGGGACAACTACGCGACGGACCCGAACGCTGGCCTGTTGGACGGTGGCTTCACGCGCTTGCTCACGCACTTGGTGGCTTACGCCACCGCCGCCCAGTGGGCCTCTAAGGTACGGCAGTTCTTCATATTTGTATTTGGTGGATCTGGCAGCTCACGTCCGAGTCGGAGGTCGACCGTGCGCTGGCAGACTGCGTGGACATCCAGTGCTACGGCGAGCGCAAGAGAGCGACCCTTGGCTCGGTGGTCCTGTTCGGCATGCTGGTGATCTGGCCGGAGCTTCGCAACGAGTTTCCCTTCGCCCTGAGGGGCCTCGAGAGCTGGCAGAAGCTGGCCGGCGCGAGCGAGGGGGGCCCACCCCCAGAGGAGGCCATCTACGCGATCGCCATCTACATGATCGAGCAGGGGCGCTATGTGGAGGCCGTCTGCGGACGTCGCGCGGGGCGGCCAGTGCTTGGCCCTGGCCCTTGGCGCGGGGGGGGGGGGGGCGAGACGGGCGCCGGCCAGGGCGCCGTCGCGCGGCGGGGCTCGGTCGCCAACCTGGTCCTGGGCCCGCGCGGCTTCAGGGCGAGCAAGGACGAGGAGCTCTTCGGCATCGACCAGGTTCGCTTCCGGAAGCTGTGGAACCAGGCCTGCCGCGCGCTGGGCATGCCTTGGGCGCCCCCATCCACGTGGGATCCGCCATTCGGGCCTTAGTGAGGACACCGCCCGAGGCCGCGCGTCGCCCGAGCAGGTCAGGCGCCGCGGGAGGTGGAAGGCCTTGTCCAGTGTCCAGCGCTACTCCAAGACGTTCGCCCTGACGCAGTTCCGCGCGAGGATGCCAGAGGTGGTCTGGGAGTCAGGCATGCGCGCGGGGCGGGACTTGAAAGCGGAGATCCTGGGAGCCCTGTTGCGGCGCCCTTTCCCGAGCGGCAGCCTCCCCGAGGCGATCGAGAACGATGTCAAGAGGGGCCTCGCCAAAGACGTCGCCGCCGAGCTGATGGAGATCAAGAGTTCGGGGGCGCGCAGTTTCAAGAAGGCCAGCCACGCTGGCGACGACGACCGAGACAGCTCAGGGGGCCTCTTCTCGGGTGAGACGTTCGGGGGAGGACGCGGGCTGGTGGACTGAGTGATGGGGGCGCCCTGCTGGGTGGCTAGGGAGGCCATGTGCGGGCGCCCTAGAGACGGTGGCCTACGGGTGCGATCGTCGCCCCTTGGACGTTGTGCCCCAGGCGTGGCGCTGGCGTGAGCATCAGTGTGTCATGGGCGCCTTTCTGTATTTTATCATTTCTGGCGCTGCGCTGGCCGCCGCGACAGGTTCAGAGTCTATCCAGCGTCGGGGGCGCAAGTGGTGTTTGAGGGCGAAGCAAACCTCGAGAGCCACCCGGCGCCGGTCTGGCAGGTCGCCACCACGTGCTCAGTGTTTCCCAGCGTCGGGGGCACAAGTGGTGTTTGAGGGCGAAACAAACCGCAAGAGCCACCCGACGCTGGTCTCATATGTTTGCCTAGAATTTGGCCACACGTGGTGTGAATATTTTGAAATCATGGTGTCGCAGCTTCCCGCCGCGCCCGGCCCTGCTGCGACAACTACGGCGTTGCCAGGCAACGGATGCGGGTATTGGAAATTCGTGCTCACGATTCGGTGCTCGTGAGTCGTGTGATGAATGAGTTTGCGATCGCCTGTCTCGTATATCAAGATATACCTGGCCCATCTAGGCCCTCGTTGTGCTGCTGGGGAATAAATACGTGAACATCGATGTTTGATTCCAGGTGCTTTGAGTCTCTCAGCTCTCGCTGGCCCCCGCCCTCCCCATGAGCTTGTAGGATAATGATAGCTAGCCAAACTTAATTGATCCGTGCTCGTGGGGTGTCTTGGGGGCTCTCTTCCTCGACGCAGCGCTCAAGCCTTCCCTTCCCGCCACGACCCGCCCATTTTCACAAGCTCCCGTCACAGTCAGAGTTTCAAATGCAGTTTGAGTCCGCAGAGCACGGACTCAAAGGAAGTTCGTGCTCACGATTCGGTGCTCGTGAGTCGTGTGATGAACGAGTTTGCGATTGCCAGTCTCGTATTTCAAGATGTACCTGGCCCATCTGGGCCCTCGTTGTTCTGCTGGAGAATAAATACGTGAACATCGATGTTTAATTCCAGGTACTTTGATTTAGTCTCTCAGCTCTCGCTGGCCCCCGCCCTCCCCTTGAGCTTGTAGGATAGCAAGCGCAAGTAGCTTGCAGTTTGTGCGGTGCCCAGGCGCTGCGGCGATGAGCCATGCGGCTCGCTGGTGCGGTGCCGGCAAAGACTCCTCGCCGGTGGGCGCGCGCCGAAGCCGTCCTGTCCATCCGTTCCCCCTCTCCTGCGATTGGTGGCGTGCAGAGGGGGGGTGGGGTGGGGGCGGGAGGGCCCCCCAAGAAAACAGGGCACTTCTCGGATGGGATCGGCCCGTCGCAGGCTCCGGGGAGGCCTTGCTGGAGGGGGCGGCCTCCCAGAGAAGCGGGGGGCCCTCTCAGAGGGCCCCTTTCGCCTCGCTCTCCTCTGCATGCCGCCAGCGTGTCCCGCGTCACCCCATGGGGGAGGGGGGTGAGGATGAGGATGAGGATGAGGACGATGATGATGATGATGCTGCTGCTGATGATGATGATGATGATGATGATAAGAGGAGGAGGAGGAGGAGGCGGAGGAGGAGGAGGAGGAGGAGGAAGCGGAGGAATACTAATACGTAGCATAATACTAGTACTAAAAAGAATCATAACAATAATAATAATAATATGAATAATAATAATAATAATAATGCGAAGAGTAGTAACAATAATAATATGCATAATAATACTAATACTACGAATAATAAGAGGAATGAGACTACTACTAATAATAGTAAGACAACGACTAATAATGATAATCAGAAAAAAGAAGAATAATACTATTAATACTAATAAGAAGCATAAGAATACAACTAATACTAATAAAGTAATACTACTACTAATAATAATATTAAGAAACGGCGAAGAATACTACTACTGCTCATAATAGCACTAAGAATAAGCATACTATCAATAATAATAGTACTATTAATAATGATAATAATAGCAATACTAATAATACTAATGCTAATACTACGAATAACAATAATCATACTAATACTCATAATAAAGAGTAATATACAAATAATAATACTAACAGTAATAATACGAGTACTAAAATAATACTACGACTACGACTACTACTACTACTACTACTACTACTACTACTATTACTATTACTATTACTACCACTACTACTACTACTAGTACTACTACTACTACTACTACTACTACTGCTACTACTACTACTACTACTACTACTACTAGTACTATTCATACGAATCATAATGATGATAATGCTAATAATGCGAGTGCGAGTACTAATACTATTAATGAAAATACTAGTCATACGAATACTATTAGTAATACTAATATTACTACGTACACTGATATTAACAATATCATTAATAGTAACACGAACAGTATTAATACGAATATGTATACTGCTACTCATGTTAATACGATTAATACTACTGATAATAATAATAGTAGTCGGACTAAGATTAATAATCACACAAAACATACGAATAATACTACTCATATTGCGAAAACTAAGAATAATACTAGGACTACGTATAATACGAAGAAGAAAACACATACGAACGATGAGAAGAGGAGGAAGATGATGAGGAGGAGGAGGCGGAGGAGGAGGCGGAGGAGGAGGAGGAGGAGGAGGAGGAGGAGGAGGAGGAGGAGGAGGAGGAGGAGGAGAGGAGGAGAGAGGAGGAGGAGGAGGAGAGGAGGAGGAGGAGGAGAGAAGGAGAAGGAGGAGGGAGGAGAGAGGAGGAGGAGGAGGAGGAGGAGGAGAGGGGAGGAGGGAGGAGGGAGGAGGAGGAGGGAGGAGGGAGGAGGGAGGAGGGGAGGGAGGGAGGGAGGGAGAGGAGGGAGGGAGGAGGGAGGGAGGGAGGGAGGGAGGGAGGGAGGGAGGGAGGGGAGGGAGGAGGAGGGAGGGAGGGAGGAGGGAGGGAGGGAGGGAGGAGGAGGAGGGAGGGAGGAGGAGGAGGAGAGGAGGAGGGGAGAGAGGAGGAGGAGAGAGGAATAGGAGGAGGAGGAGGAGGAGGAGGAATAGGAGGAGGAGGGAGGGGAGGAGGTGAGGAGGAGGAGAGAGGAGAGAGGAGGAGAGGAGGAGGAGGATGAGGAGGAGGGAGGAGGAGGAGGAGGAGGAGGAGGAAGAGAGGAGGATGAGGAGGAGGAGGAGGAGGAGGAGGAGGAGGAGGAGGAGGAGGAGGCGGAGGGGGGGAGGAGGAAGAGGAGGAGGAGGAGGAGGAGGAAACGGGGGGGGGGAGAGGAAGAGGAGGAGGAGGAGGAGGAGGAGGAGGAGGAGGAGGTATAGGAGGAGGAGGAGGAGGAGGAGGAGGAGGAGGAGGAGGAGGAGGAGGAGGAGGATGAGGAGGATGCGTTCTTGCACGTTGTTTCGGAGTACAAGCACCTCGGTAGCGTCACGAGCGTAAGCGGGTCCAATATCCCTTACGTCAAGCAACGCTCCAGCAGTGCGCTTGCATCGTATGCGCCCATTGCCACGAAAGTGTTCGGCAACAGCGATTTGCAGCTGTGTCTGCGTTCCTCCCTGTGTCGAAGCGTCATCCTGTCGAAGCTGTTATTCAATGCTTACGTCAGGGTGTTGAAGGTGCGCGAGTTGCGCGTGTTGAACGCCACTTGCATGCGCGTCGTTCGTCGGATGTGCCATCGCGTGAACTTTGACGGCACTGCTGGCTCCGACATTGAAGCGCGCAGGGCTGCGAACATGGCTTCCATGGATTGCATTCTTCTGCAGCAAAGGTTGTTGCACCTCGCTCGCCTCCTGAGGTTCGACAGCAGGGCGTTGCAGGCATTACTGTCGCAGGCGCGCGCGGGCCGACGGCTCCTCCGAAGTGCTCCCCTGGGTGCGTGCGGTCAGAGACGACTTAAACAAGTGCTTCCGGCTGTCGCCGTTGGCCAAGGAACGTCTCCCATGCCCGCGAGAGCACCCGGAAATGTGGTTCGATTCTATGAGGACGCATGTTGATTTTTGGCACGCTGTTGTATCGTCTGCTCATTTCTTTGAGTCTGTGTGCGACGCGTCGCGGGCTGCATGTGCTCACGAGGCGGTTGCAGTACATCAGTGTTGGGCGTGTGACAGGACATTTGCCACGCAGCAAGCGATGTTGACTCACGCCCGGATCAAGCACAGTGCCAGCACGGATCGCAGGCTGTTTGCTGAATCAGATGGAGTTTGCCGGTCGTGCCAAAGAAAGTTCTCGACTTGGCTACGCCTTCCAGACCACAGAATTCTTGTTGGCTGTGGGTCGTAGCGAACGCATTGCCGTTGTCGGCCGAGAGAGTCGCGCAGCTGGATGCCCTCGACGCCGCGGCCGGCCGAGCCGCCAGGAAGGCAGGCCACACCAGGCCCCTCACGGACGGACCTGTGAAGCAGGCGCCTGCCGTGTGAACGAATCTCGATCCTCTCCTTGCCCCCCCTTGCGCACGACTTATTCTTCTGGTGAATTCAGGTGCTGAATGCTTGTTTTGTGCCTTCTGTTGAGTCTCCGCCGGCAAAAAAGGAGGAGGAGGATGAGGAGGAGGAGGAGGAGGAGGAGGAGGAGGAGGAGGAGGGGAAGGTGGGGAAGGTGGGGAAGGAGGAGGAGGATGAGGAGGAGGAGGAGGAGGAGGAGGAGGAGGAACCGGAGGAGGAGGAGGAGCAGGAGAAGGAGGGGGAGGAGGAGGGGAGGAGGAGGAGGAGGAGGAGGAGGATAAGAGGAGCGGGAGAGGAGGACGCAGGAGGAGCAAGGAGGATGTTGGAGGATGTTCTCTTCCTTTCCATGCCTTTGGCACTTGACCGAGGACAGAGGCCCGAGGACAGAGGTGAACATCTCACCACATTCGGGCATCGGACAGCGCGGCGGCCCACACCAAGGCGACCGCGAAACCTATCTTTGAGTCGGGCCTGTCCCTCTACAAGGGGAATATGCAAACGTACTTTAAAAAATAGTCAGGGGACGATTTGTTGATAATGTTTCGATATTGTAGAGGCCTCCGGGCGGTGCCGCCGATCCGGGACGATCCCGCTGTCAGAAGGACGCTTTCGCCCCAGCGCGCTTGTTCAAACGGAAGTGGTTTGGAAACAGCTTGGAGGCATTGCGTGGGCTTCTTGAGGGGCCTCTACGACGCATCTTCGAGGCCTCCTGGGGGGGCGTCTTGGAGGTGATTGTTGAGCCTCTTGGGAGCCTTTTGGGCTTCTTGGGGGGCATGCAGGAGGCCTCCTGGAGGCCTCCTGGGGGTGTGTAGGAGGTACTTTTCATACCTTCGGGAGCGCTTTTGGGCGCCTTTGGGGGGCCTCTTGAGGGCCACTTGGAGCCTCTCGGGGCTTCTTGGGGACTCCTAGGGCCATTTTGGTGCTCCTGGGCGCCTCTGGGTCCGTCTTGGGTCCTTCTGGGGCCGTCATGGAGCCCTCCTGGGCGCTTCTTGGGCCCGTTCTGGGGCCCGCTTGGGCTGTCTTGGGGGCCTCCAGGGCCGTCTTGGGCCCTTCTTGGGCCGACTTGGGGCCCTCTTGAGAGCCTCTGGGCCTGTTTTGGGGGTCTCTTGGGCCGTGTTGGACATTGCGAAGGCCGAAGAAGCGACAATGCAACACATGTACGTTTCCCTCAGGAACTGGCACATATTTTCCGTCTTTGGGCACTCTTAGGAGGTGTCGGGAGGGTACGTTGGAGGCTTCTGGTGGAGCCGTCTGAGGAGCATATTGAACGTCTTGGAGCGATGTTTCGGCCACTCAGGGCCCTCTTGGGCCGTCTGGGCGGCCGCTGGTTTTTTTTATGAGCCCGCGTTCGAGCTCTCCGGGGCGAGGGGCCGACCAGGAGTGAGCTGGAGCTCCGATTTTGCCACCAAACTTGACCCGAACTCCCCCCCCCCTACCCCGGCAGAGCCACCCCGGCACCCACCCCCCCAGCAGAGCTTAACCTCAAGAACTGAAGCTCAGGCTACATCTGAGGGTCTTTGAAACTCACACGCCGAATCGGCGGATTTTTGAATTTGTTTGAACATTTTAGATTTGCGTCCTAAATCCTCCTTTAGGGGCACATGCCCGACCTAAACCGATCTACCTCTTTCACTTTTACCAACTACAATGACGGTTCAGCTTTTTCTTACCATGTGAGTTTCAGCCTTGGTTATTCCCATGTGGGTGCTGTTGCAGTTTTCTGCCGACGCAATTTCGGCCCACGGCAGGGCCTGCAGAGTAGCGACCAGCCACCTTCTACCGTCTTCACATTTCAGTTGCGAATTCGCTCTTTCGCTGACGTCCTCCATCGACCATGGCACTTGGTTCCATCATCATTTGCGGATCACGATCACCCCCTTCACCCCCTCCATGGCCAGGTGAGCTCATACATCATGCCCTTGCGGGCCTCTTCTCTTTACCTCCATCCCTCTAGTTGTCATCTTTCTCTTGCTGCGCTCACCTAGGTCTAGTTTGTTGGCCACAGCGCCTCAATCGGTTCGTCCTTGCATTCAGCCGCTTGTTTGCCATCCTGATGCTACGATCTCAGTCGATCTTAGTCGAAGGAGGAGGAGGAGGAGGAGGAGGAGGAGGGGATAAGGAGAGGAGAAGCGCGAGGAGAAACACGAGGAGGAGGAGGAGGAGGAGGAGCAGGAGGAGGAGCAGGAGGAGGAGGAGGAGGAGGAGGAGGAGGAGGAGGAGGAGAGGAGGAGAGGGAGAGGGAGGAGGGAGAGGAGAGGGAGAGGGAGAGGGAGAGAGAGGAGAGGGGGAGGGAGGAGAGGGAGATGATGATGATGATGATGATGATGATGATGATGATGATGATGATGATGATGATGATGATGATGATGATGATGATGATGATGATGATGATGATGATGATGATGATGATGATGATGATGATGATGATGATCATGATGATGATGATGAGGAGGAGGAAGAGAAGGAGAAGGAGAAGGAGGAGGAGGAGCAGGATGGGGGAGGAGGAGGAGGAGGAGGCGATGAGGAGGTGGATGGCCTGGACATTCCGACCATCGGGTTTAAGACTGGCCAACGCAAAAGCCGGAGGACTTCATCCTCCTCCTCCTCCTCTTCCTCCAGCTTTTCCTCCTCCTCCGCCTCCTTCTCGAGGCGGGCAAACAGAGAAAGGATGATGAGGAGAAGGAGGATGAGGAAGGATGGGTGGAGGGAGGTAGGGGCGGAGGGAGGAATAGGGGGAGGGAGGAGGGTGGAGGTCAGGGGGGACGAAGAGAAGGTTGAGGACCTGCTGCTGCTCCAGCTTAGCTGCCGCTGCCCCTCCTTCAGAAACAGGCGGCACGAACATATCACCAGCAACTGTTACACCATGCGCACGAATGCCTTGGGAACTGTCGCAACTGCACTGCCGATTAATCGCAACTGCATTGTCGATGAGTTGATCAGGCCACGGTTCATAGCATGAGTTTGCCTATTGCAGGTCGGCTTGTGCGGTGTTCTCGGTTTGCCTAGCGGCCTCTAGATTCGCGATGTGGTTGTGTTACCGTGGTTCTTTGTGTGAAAAAATGCAGGTGCTTTGGGAACTGCCCAGCAGCGCACCCTGGCCTGGAGCCCCTCCTCCTGGGCTTCGTGGCCTTCTCCTCCTCCTCCTCCTCCTCCTCTTTTTCCTCCACACGTTCCAGGATTTCCAGGCTTGTCCGCTGCCTCGCACGGCGAGAGGCGAATGGCCGAGCACGAGTGGCCGAGAACTTGCCCCGTACGGTCGGGAACTTTTGGACGGAGTGTCGCCCAGCTAGTTTTGGCCCACTACGCTGCGGCGTGACACGTTATCCACTTCCTGGCCCCCCAGCGTCAACGTCCCGAACTATTCCGAGCCTCCCGCCCCACGGGACGGAGCGACATGGTATCCGCTCGCAGGGCGTACCGAGTCGCTGGGGCCGCCGCGGCGACACGCTCAGCAAAAACTCCCGACTGTATCCCGAGCCAACCGCATCCTGACACCATCCTCGCCCCGTCCTCTCGCCAGGCGGGCCAGTGGAGCATGACCGCCGCCGCGGAGCCGCTCGGCGCCCGGCGCTCTGGGCCCGAGGACGACCCGGTGCTGGAGCTGAGGCGGCTGCATCAGACGAGCTCGCTCAACCGGTTCTATCCGCAGCGCCTTGCGGCAGTGCCGCGGGCCCCGCTCTGCGCGGCAGTGCCGCCAGCCCCCCCTGCCGCCCAAAGGCCCAGACCACCCCTCGTCGTCGTTGCCCTCGTCTTCCTCCTCCTCCTCCTCCTCCTGCTCCTCCTTTTCCTCCTTTCGAAGCTTTAGTGTAGGCGCGTCTCTCTGGCTGATTACCTTGATGGTGGCTCGTGTTTTTTGCCGCGTGTGCTGGTTCATTAGGGTGATAGCGATCAGACGCGTCATCCTATGCTATTTTATGCTGTTCTCTAGGCGGGATCCAGTGGGTTCCCTCGACGCCAGGGAATCGGTCCCCCCAGCAGGGATTGGCCTGGCTGTGAATGTCCTTCAAACTCCGAGCCGCCGCTCGTGCTTCAGAAATTTAACCTGCAGGGGTAAGGCTGAGTTGTCATGTGGTTGTCTACCCGCCCTCCCGAAAGCCTGAACCACCCCTCGTCGTCGTCGTCCTCCTCCTCCTCCTCCTCCTCCTCCGCGGGCTGCGCACCTGCCGCTGTCGACCCCGACGGCGGCAGGTGCGCTCTGTCCCGCGGCCGCTCCTCCTTTCAGTCGGCGCGGAGCCGAAGACGCTCGCCCAGGCTTGTTGAGCCAGTAGGCGAGGCCTGACGATGGACTCCCCTACGCTCGCTTTCTCCCCCTCACCCTCCTCGTCGTCGGATCATCATCATGCCAGATGTCTGCATCGGGTACCATCTGTTCCGTCTTCTCCACCGGGCGGGTCGAAGCGCGTTGGCGAGCCCACTCGCTCCTTCCAAGCGGACCTACAGCTCGCCCTGGCCGCGCGGATGGCTGCAGACCTTCCTACCGCGCGTGCGCGGCGATCGTGGGTGGGGTGAGCCCGTAGGTTACTCGCGCCTCTATGTTCCTTTCCTTGCCCTCCTCTCATTATCACCAGGCCCCCGACGTCCTCTTTTCGCACAACGTAGACCACTAACCGTCTTTTCATCCCGAGCGGTTTTCTGACGGTTCTGGGGCTCAGCAACGGCCCCCAGAGGGAGAAAGGAGGTACAATTTTTTGTTCCCCACATCCAAAGTGGGGTTCTTGTTTTCTCTGCACACCCCGCGCAGGAACACTCACCCCACCCCCTCTCCTCTTCTGCCTTCGCACACTCACTCACTCACTCATCATCATCACCACTCACTCACACTCACACTCACTCACACTCTCTCATCATCAACATCAGCATCATCACTCGCGCTCTCTCACACGCTCAGTCACTCACATACTCATCATCATCATCATCATCATCATCATCATCATCATCATCATCATCATCATCATCACTCGCACTCTGTCACACGCTCACTCATTCACATACTCACCTGGAGGAAGTCTCAGGCGGGAGTTCGTCTGTGAGTGAATTGTGAGGAAGTCTCAGGCGGGAGCCCCCTCCCTATGGGGCCCGCAGATCATGTTGGTAATCCGAGCGGGTCATCCAAACCCTGTAACTGTCGTCACTTTTGGGCTCCTCAAGCTTGAATACGGAGGAAGTCTCAGGCGGGAGCCTCGTCTGTGAGTGAATTGCGAGGAAGTCACAGGCGGGAACCCCTCCCTATGGGGCCCGCGCTTCATGTTGGTAATCCGAGCGGGTCATCCAAACCCTGTAACTGTCGTCACTTTGGGGCTCTACAGGCCTGAATTTGGAGGAAGTCTCAGGCGGGAGCCTCGTCTGTGAGTGAATTGTGAGGAAGTCTCAGGCGGGAGCCCCCTCCCTATGGGGCCCGCAGATCATGTTGGTAATCCGAGCGGGTCATCCAAACCCTGTAACTGTCGTCACTTTTGGGCTCTCGCGCTGCCAGAACGCCACTCCCGGGCCACATTGTGCACGCCCGGAGCCAACTGTAGGCCACTTCGTGTTCTTCGTGTTCCCAGAAACCCATTCCCGGGCCACATTTTGAAACCCCGGAGCCAACTGTAGGCCACTTCGTGTTCTTCCTGTTCCCAAAACACCATTCCCCGGCCACATTCTGGATGTCCGGAGCCAACTGTAGGCCACTTTGTGTTCGTCGTGTTCCCAAAGCGTCATTCCCGGGCCACATTTGTGAATTTCGAATCCGAGGAGGGTCCTCGGAATTCGTATGCCTGTCGTCACTTTTGGGTCCCCGCGGCCTGAATATGGCTGTCATGGGCCTGCTTGCTCCAAAGGGCGACTGAGGAGCTGACGACGACGACGACGAGACAGCGGCCGGGCGCAGGGGTAACCTCTTGTGTCCGGGCCGGGGGTGGTGACCCATCCTCGGCCGAATCGGGGGCAGGGGTAACCTCTTGTCTCCGGGTCGCCGGTGGCGACCCATCGGCGGCCGAATCGGGCGCAGGGGTAGCCCCTTGCGTCCGGGCTGGGGGTGGTAACCCATCCTCGGCCGAATCGGGGGCAGGGGTAACCCCTTGTCTCCGGGCCGCCGGTGGTAACCCATCGCAGAGTTCACATGGCAGAGCTCGGGGCCGCACAACGTGCGCCGCTCGGGGTTCACCCTGACCCACGCGTCCTACCTGACCTCCACGCTGTCGCAGGGCCAGACGCTGCGCAAGGGCGTCACCATCGACTGCGCGAGAGACGAGGACGCTGGCCGCACGGGCATGTCTGACGAGCAGTGGTGGCTGCACCTCTACGTCATGCTCTCCCGCGCCACGTGCATGCGGAACATGCTGATCCTGCGGCCGCCGCCGCGGGAGTTCCTGGAGCGAGGGCCGCCAGCGTCCTTGCGGAAGGCGCTCCTGGAGTTCGACAAGAGAGCGGTTTTGTCCAGGGCGGAGGCGAAGCAGCTCGCGGCAGAGCTGGGCTTCGTGCTGCCCGCCTGAGCGCGGCTGCGCCCCGCTCGAAGCCCGCGGGGTTGTCCCAGCGGCTTGGTCTTGCGCGCAAGCGGCTCGCGGGGTTATCCCGACAGCCTGGCCCGCGGGGTTGTCCCAACGGCTGCGCGACGTGGCCATTAGAGAACGCGCCTGTGCTGGCCGGGGCGGCGACGGCGCCGAGGAAAACCGACATGCGCGCTCGTGCAATGGAAAGGCGAGGCGGTGGCGGGGCGCGAAAAAACAGGAGGGCGAGGTCGGGGGCAACGTAGGGAGCGGGGGGAGGGCCCGCGCCAGGGCGAGAAGAAATATACGCAGAAGAGACAGTCAGGACGCCTCACCAACCACGAGGACGACGGTGAGCGCTTTTTCCAGATTCTCCCAGAGGATTCTCATGTGGGGTCCTTCCGTCGGAGTAATTGTTTTTTAGTCGAGAGGGTGTGGGTGTTTGCGCCTCTTGCCCTGCACGCTCCTCAATATCACAGCCATGGGGCACTCAGGTACTCAGAGACGTATCCAGTTCTTGCGAAGGCCTTACGGCTGGTGCCGCCGACCCTGAATGGCGACGACGACGACGACGACGACGACGAGCGCTCTTGGGGGCCTCTTGGGGGTAGTTTGTGGGCCTCTTGGGGAGCTCTTTGGGGCCGTTTGGAAGCCTCGTGGGGGCCTCTTGGGGCTTCCTGGGGGTCTCTTGGAGGGGGCCTGGGACGTCTTGGAGGCTTCTTGGACGGTCTTGGGGCTATCTTGGGCGTTTTCGGCCGATCTTTGGGCGACTCGGGGCCCTCTTGGGCCGTCTCGGGGGCCATCTGGGGCATTGGGATCTCATGTGGAGTGTTTTCGAGGTTTCGAGGCCGCCCGAGGAGAAACGAATCTGCCCCCCCACGCCCCCCGGGACCCCCTCCGGGACCCCCCCGGGACCCCCCCCGGGACCCCGGGACCCCCCCCGGGACCCCCCCCCCCGGGACCCCCCCCGGGCCCCCCCCCGGGACCCCCCCCGGGACTCCTTCCGGGACCCCCCCCTTCCCCCGGGGAAGGGATCGAAGGGAAGGGGTTTCCTTGCGACTCGATTACGGCACTGCTCGATTTTTCTTTCGCTCACGAGCTTGAGAAGGAAACTGCAGGGAAAGGGGACGACGGAGGCGACGACCGACGGAGACGACGACTCGAACAGCCAAGCCCCTCGCACACGCCGACAGGGTCGGCGGATTTCTAGCAGCCTCTCTCTCTCTCTCTCTTTCTCCCGTCACTGTTCAACTTTACACCCTCTGTCTGTCGCTCCCGTTTCCGACGCTCTGATGGCACCTCTCTCCAGTTTAGCTTCGGGTTGTCCCTACAAAATCCGATACCAATAATATGCAGCAGGAGACCATTTCTTTATTGCTTGGGGCATGACGGGCGTCATGGCCCCTGCCCCCTCCCCCCCCTCCCCTATGACGTAACGCTCCCCCCCCAGTGCGCTCCGGGCGCTGCCGCCGTGCGTGTTGTGATCCGCGTAGGTGTCCGCGTAGGAATCCGCATAGGAGTCTGGTCCGCAGTCGTCGTCGACGTCGTCGTCGTCGTCGTCGTCGTCGTCGTCGTCGTCGCTCGTGGCTCGTGGCTCGTGGCTCGACGCTCGTCGCTCCTCGTCGTCGTGCGCGCGGACGCGGCTGGAGCCTGTTTTTTAACTCCGGGCCGATGACGGCAATCATCTGGGGGGGTGGAGGGGGTCGATGACGTCACGCTTCGCGCCGGCGGCGCCCGGGCATGCCTATAGGAATGACGGAGGACGGGTGGCACCAGCATGTAGGTGGCGGTCTGCACCACGATGCCTGTGTACACCTCAGTGCCTGCGTGCACCACAGCGCCTGTGTACACCACACCGCCTATGTACACCACAGCAGCCGCGTGCAACACAGCGTCAGTTTGTGCCACCGCGCGTGCGGGCACAACAGCTCTTGTGTACACCACAGCGCCTGCGTACACCACATCAGCCGTGTGCAACACAGCAGTGCACACCACAATGTTTGCGTGCATTGCAGTGCCTGTGTACACCGCGGCGCTTGTGTGCACCACAGCAACCGTGTGCAACACAGCACCACTGTTGTATGTAGAATGTTAGAAGGAATCATTGTGACAAAATGGAGCCTTTCTGGATTCCGCCGAAAACGCCATTAACAAATCCATATAGACAAGGGAGCGCCAGAGGAATCTA